CTGGAGGGGGGGGGCGCGGACGCCATTTTGGAGCCGTCAGCGCTAGGCCGCAGCTCTTTTTGCTGTTCTTAAGCGGGCTTTGGGAGGCCTTGGTCTGGAACGGGGTACCAAATGAACGGCTCTTTTTGCTAACACAATTTAGGCTGTGTTATAGGTCCTTTACTCTGCTCAGACTCGTTCCTTCCCTGTGGTGGGGTCTTTGCACTAACTAGAGGGGTCGGTGCCTCGCTAGTAACCAGCCTTACTCGGATAGTGCTTTAATTATTACTGATTGGTTAGTTTTGTAGTATTTATTATCTCTAAAATAAATTGCGGATGGGCAAGCAAAGGAAGATGGTGTTGCCTTTATTGCCATGAGCTATTAGTTGATAACAAATACAATATCGTGCTGAAAGATTCTTTTTTTCAAGGTGCTTTTCAGACCAGCAAACTATCACCGGACATCTTAGCAGCTTTTTGAAAGGACTCTGATGCTGCTAGCTGTTGAATTTTCACCTTGCAAATTGTAGGCCACATGGGATTGTTCACAAGGCCCAGACTTTAAGAAAAGTTCAGTTACACGAAGTTTATTTAGTTGTAGATACTGTGAGTCTATATCATATTGGAGAAGTGGGTTACAGCATTTCAGTGGGTAAAAAGAATCTAAATAGCATGGGTTTGTTTAACTGAATAAACACGAGTGGGTTTTCTATGGGCTTTTTTAATAATGGATGGGACACAGTTTAGAAGATGTTACTGAAGTAGTTTAGAACATGTAAGTAAGGAGCCCACAGAGTCAGCCCTAGATGATTTTGACCTAGATGACTTGGAAATCTTGAGTCTCCAACCTGAGGCACAGTTTTCTGAAGGCAGAGTGCCCTGCAGAGCACTGTTTTAAGTGAGAACCCGTTGCTGTGATGATGTAATTTGCGTCTTACCCAGCGTCCAGCGACAGTTGCCTGCTGTCGGTGTGCTGGCGCTGCCGGGCTGGAGACCCTTTCGTTCTGAGCAACGCCCGGCGTGTTCGAGCGCCAGGGGTTTGCCTGAGCTGTGCTGAAGAGTTTCTCCCCACCCAGGCTTGCGCTCGGCCGCTAATCTCCGTGTACTCGGAGAAGGGGGAGGCCTCGGGGAAGAACGTGACGCTGCCGGCCGTGTTCAAGGCCCCCATCCGCCCCGACATCGTCAACTTCGTGCACACCAACCTGCGCAAGAACAACCGGCAGCCCTACGCCGTCAGCGAGCTGGCAGGTACGGCTGGGGAAGGGCTGGGCAACACCCTCCTCCAGGCTTGGGTTTTCATGCAGAGGGGCAAAAATGTGAAATTATGTCGTACAGCTTTTTTTGTTGTTGTTCTGAAGAACAGTGAGGTGGCATAAAAGTTTTGGAGCGCTCTGGAGTCTTATCTGAAATGTGTATTCTTGCAAACAGTGGATCCTCACATGGAATCTGCATTCTTTCCAAGAACCCAAAATGTTTTTAAGTGTATTACTGTGAATGCAATTCACACTTTATAATTCCTGCTCCATATTGACCATGTGAGACTCACCTGAGACATGCGCCAAGAGGAAACGTAAGCAAATAAGCATTTTCTGGAGTTATTCAGAAGCTTGTAGGTGGTTTCCCAAGACATTTGTGGTAGGAGTATGACTTCCTAAGTTGATTTCTGATGGTGTTTCACATTATTAACCCATAAGGAACAGCACTGCCAGCTCTGACCCAAATTGAGGATCGAGCTTAGAAATGAGCGTGCTCATGTTGCTTCTGATCTAAGCAGATCATTAATGTGGTAGGAGTTTGCTGACCTGATTGTTTTTTTTTTTTTCACTGAAATGATGAGATTCCACTTCATTGGTCCGTGTTTCTGAAACACATGATAACAGTGGAAGTTCTGATTGGTGCTCTTCAATCCAGCGTATCCGTGACATTGGGGAAATTGCAGTCTTGACACTGTCTGAGTTAAATTCTCTCTGTTCCAGGTCATCAGACCAGTGCCGAGTCCTGGGGCACTGGGAGAGCTGTCGCTCGTATCCCCCGAGTGCGGGGTGGTGGGACTCACCGCTCAGGCCAGGGGGCCTTTGGGAACGTATCCTTTCATAGCTGCAGTTGGTGTTTGACAAGCAGCAGCTTTACTGACATCCCCCCATGCCACACAAGTGGGTGCCTTGAGTCTGGTGACATCCCTTCTTGCCATGATGTTGTAATTTGCGTCCTACTCTGTGCTCAGTGACAGTTGCCTGCTGTCAGGGTACTGGCGCAGAGGGCTGACGAACCCTTAACGCTGAGCAAGCATTAAAGGGTCACACTGAAAAGAAAGACTCTTCCAAGAGGTTGTTCTTAACTGCAGCCCTGTAGATGTGTCGCGGGGGCCGCATGTTCGCCCCCACCAAGACCTGGCGCCGCTGGCACCGCCGGGTGAACACCACTCAGAAGCGTTACGCCATCTGCTCCGCCCTGGCCGCCTCCGCGCTGCCGGCCCTCGTCATGTCCAAAGGTGGGAACTGACCCCCTGCCCCTTCGCCCAGGCACTGGAAGTGTTCCTCATGGATAACAAAACGCTCTTTTTAAGGGTTTTAGAGGCAGTCCCATCTTTGTGAGCGGGTATTTTATCACTCGGTTTGGGAGGGTACTTTGCAGTTTTGTGGTGTCGTAAGTTTGGTGATAGAATCATGGAATGGTTTGGGTTGGAAGGGACCTTAAAAACCACCTGGTTCCAACCCCCCTGCCATGGGCAGGGACACCTCCCACTAGACCAGGTTGCTCCAAGACCCATCCAGCCTGGTCTTGATGAACACCTCCAGTGATGGAGCATCCACAGCTTCCCTGGGCAACCTGATCCAGTGTCTCACCACCCTCAGAGTGAAGAACTTTTTAATTTCTAATCTAAATCTGCTCTCTTCCAGTTTGAAGCCATTACCCCTTGTTCTACCACTACAAGCCATTGTACAGTGTCTGTCCCCATCTTTCTTGTAGGCTCCCTTCAGGTACTGGAAGCTCTTCCTGGAGCCTTCTCTCCAGGCTGCCCAAGCCCAACTCTCTTGCTGGCCTCCCAGCAGAGGGGTTCCCCCCAAGTCCTTCTCAGGACTTCTCACACTCCAAGGCACTGAGGAGCTTTTCTGTGTGTGGCTGACACAGATCTTGTCTGTGCAGTTCACAGCAGCTGCAGCCAGGTTCTGAGTCGTGCAGCAGTTCCCTTTGGTGTCTGATCACAGAAGCCAAAGATGGGCTTCAAAACCCCTTGAGTACAGAAAGTGCTGTGTGAGGCAGAGCTGTGAGACTCCACCGAAACGTCACTGCAGGAGTCTGCCTGAACATGAGATCATTAATTTAATTTCCACTGGTTTTGATGTCGCATTGTGTCTGGATGCACGAGGTGGCAACACCCTTGAGAAAAGCGAACAGCCACGGTTAGTGGGTCACTTGGTGTCTTGTAAAATCCTCCCTAGGCCACCGCATTGAGGAGATCCCAGAAATTCCTCTGGTTGTTGAAGACAAAGTTGAAAGTTACAAGAAAACCAAGGAAGCCGTTCTGCTTCTTAAGAAGCTTAAAGCTTGGAACGACATCAAAAAGGTGAGTTGATGAGGTAACGTTCTTGGGGGCGACCCCCAGGTGATTGGACTCTGGCCATGCTACCGTAGGAATTCCAAATAGTTTGGTTGGATGCTGCTAGAAATCCCTGGGTAACAAATACTACAGAAAACTGTACAAAGGAGTTGAAACAAAGTAAAATTATTAGCTGCTTTACTTTGTATTTAGTTGCCTTCATTTCACTGTTGTTTAACAGGAATGGCTTTTTTTTTTTTTTTTTTTTTTTTTTTTTTTTTTTTTTTGGACTTTTATGAATGATGAACTTCTTACTGGTCCGTGTGTCAGATCAGCAGTGACGATTTTGAAGTTCTGACTAAAGCCATTCTGTTGTGTCAAACGAGTGGGATTTGGACTATTTGGAATACTCCCCAGTTTAATTTCCTGTCTAGGTTTATGCCTCCCAGCGTATGCGGGCTGGGAAGGGCAAGATGAGGAACCGCCGTCGCATCCAGCGCAGGGGACCCTGCATCATCTACAACGAGGACAACGGGATCATCAGAGCCTTCCGCAACATCCCAGGTAACCTCTGTCTGACCCTCTTGTGGGGGGCTGCTGAGAGTGATGAGATTCCACTTCATTGGTCCGTGTTTCTGAAACACATGATTTCGTGGAAGTTCTGACTCACTGAAGTAGTTAATGATGCTCATTCTGAGAATGTTTTGGGGATGCTGAAGGAGTTGATGACAAAGTTGATGGATGTTACCAACCCTAAAGTGTATTTGGAGCAGTTAAAATTGAGGCTTTCAATAGAAAAAGGCTTATTTTAAAAAATTAATAATTTCCATTGGTAGGTGTATGTAAGTCAGTCTGCAGTGTGGGAGCTGCAAAGCTCCTCTCTGCATCCAGGCACTTGCTCACCTGTTCCTTCCTTAGCGCCAGCATCCCTCGGTTTTAATTGCAAACAAAAGGCTCAGTTTGTCTGGATTTCCCCAGGAATCACTCTTCTGGATGTGAAGAAGCTGAACCTGCTGAGACTGGCTCCCGGGGGGCACGTTGGCCGTTTCTGCATCTGGACAGAGAGCGCGTTCCGGAAGCTGGACGACCTGTATGGCACCTGGCGCAAAGCCGCCACGCTGAAGAGTGACTACAAGTGAGCACGGGGGAGGGAGAGCACTGCACCAATTCTGGTCTAGATGCCTGCTTTTATAGAAGCATTAAGGTTGGAAAAGACCTCTTAAGATCAAGTCCAGGCATCGACCCAGTGCTACCGTGACTGCTAACCCATGTCCTGAAGTGCCACATCTACATGTGTTTTGAACCCCTCCAGGGATGGTGACTCTAGCACCTCCCTGGGCAGCCTGGGCCAAGGCCTCACCTCTCTGCCAGGAGAGAAATTCTGATACCCAGTCAAAACCTCCCCTGGTACAAATTGAGTCCATTTCCTCCTGTTCTGTCACTGGTTACCTGAGAGAAGGCACCAGCTCCCATCTCACTCCCACCTCGTGTCAGGGAGTTTTAGAGAGCAGTGAGGTCTGCTCTCAGCCTCCTCCAGACTAAACAACCCCAGGTCCCTCAGCTGCTCCTCACAAGCCATGTTCCCCAGCCCCTCCACCAGCTTTATTGCCCTTCTCTGGACCCACCCCAGCCCCTTAGTGTTTGTCTTCTACTGTGGCACCCAAAACCAAGCCTGGTGCTCAGCTGTGGCCTCCCCAGTGCCAAGTCCAGGGGCACAGTCACTTCCCTGCTCCTGCTGGGGACTGGTTTTGATCCGGGCCAAGATGCTGGTGGCCTTCTTGTCCACCTGGCCACACGCTGGCCCCTGTTCCACCAGCACCCACCCTCCCACTCTGGAGCAGATTGGCACTCCTGCTCTCCTTTGTGTCATCTGCAATCTCCCATCCTTGGGGAACTAGCTGAGTTTTTATTGTCCAACTCATGCTGAACGTTTGTTCCTCAGCCTGCCGATGCACAAGATGACCAACACCGACATTGGGAGAATCATGAGGAGCCAGGAGATCCAGAAGGCACTGCGTGCTCCCAAGTAAGCTTTTGTTTCTTTCTGTACCAAGCAAAGCACAGTCTCTTTTGGGAACCTCAGTGGGAGGCTTTGAGTGAGATCAGAAATCTGTGCTGGGATGTGGGGTGGGTCTGGGATCCCTTCAGCTTCTGGGTGCAAATACCAGGAATTGCACTTGCCCCAATTTCAGGGAAAATTTCATAGAACTTGAACATCCAAGCGAGATTTTGATACAAGCCTGTTCCTTTCAGGAAGAAGATTCGCCGTAGGGTCCTGAAGAAGAACCCACTGAAGAATCTGAGAATCATGATCAAGTTGAACCCCTACGCCAAAACCATGCGCCGCAACACCATCCTGCGCCACGCCCAGAACGTGAGTGTGGCCCGGCCGCTCTGAGGGCTCACTTGGGTGCTGATGAAAATCAGGTGCTGATGATCTTTTTCTTTTTTTTTTTTCTTTAGCACAAACTTAAGGAGGAGAAGAAGGAGAAGGCCAAGGCCAAGCTGGCCGCCAAGCCCCCGGCAGAGCC